TCGCAGTCGCAGTCGCAGTCGCAGTCGCAACCGCGGTCGCATTCCAGCTCTCGTCTCCTCTTTTTGCTGATCGTCGTCAGCCCAACTCTTCAACCCACCACCACCATCACGCGCTTCATCCCCTCCATAGACGATAGATCATCCACCCTCGACGACGGCCGTACGTCGACTCCCGCCATCGCGCCTTGGCATTGGCACCGCATATACACGTCTTTCCCACGTTGCTTGCCCAACATGTCGAGCTCAGCAGCAGTCGCGTCCGCGCACGATCCGGCGCTCGACCTGCTCCCCTCCGAACTGCAGGACACCATCATGGAACAAAAGTTTGCACAGATCCGCGAGCAGCGTCGCGAGGCGCACCACGTGCTCCGAGAAGCCAAGCAGCGCACGCGCAACCAGCAGACCGACCAGCAGATCCTCATGCTCATGCAGACCGACGAGCGTCTCGCATCGCTCCTCTCCCAGGCCGCAGACTCGATGCGTGCCCTCCTCCCCGTCAAGCCGCCATCGCCGGACACCGTCCGCCTCGCTCCATCTGACGCGACGTCCGCATCAGCTTCTTCGTCGTCCGCCTCCGAGCCGACCCACGGCGCCAAGGCGTTCGAGGTCAAGGCGCAGCAGTGGTTCTCCATCCTCAACGAGGTGCAGTACTCGCTGCGCAGCGCCGTGCGCTACCTGCGCGACTCGAACCTCGCGCCGCTCACCCCACCCGCCGGCGCCGAAGCGCGCCTCTCGGGCAACGCCGGCTCGGCCGCACGCGCGCACAACCTCTCGCTCCTCGACGCCTTTGTCGACCTCGCTGGCATCGACGGTCCCACCTTTAAGCTGCCACCCGTAGCGCCCGCATCCACCTCGTCCGGTAGCGCATCGCCGCTGTCCGAGCCGGTGTTGAGCGTACATGCGCTGCGCAAGCGAGACCGCAACTGGAAAGCACTCTCTAGCTCGCTACAGCACATGCACAACCAGTCGAACCTCGCCACCGCCCCGTCGCCAGCGCACACTGCACCGCGCGCGTCGCCGTCGATCGAACTGTCGCTGCTCGAGAGCATACGCAACGGCTGCAGCTCCGACCGCATCCTCATCGACGCGCTCGTCAACACCAACAGCATGGCGTAGTCACCGACCTCTCCCATACCATACCGTCCTTCCTCATGCATTTCTCGTCGTGTTAATTCAGGTCTCCTTTGCATAGCAATGCAGTGTGGCGTGTGCCCTCACGAGCGTATGATTCAGCCGATGGTATGAAGTAGGAATCTATCTGACTACCACAGAGCGTCACACCGAGGTTGTGTATGAGATCCAGCTGACTCAGAGCTTACTTCGAGGCTCTGTCTCTACATCACTCTCTGTATCACAAACACGCAGCTCAGCTCTTTTCGTCGTGGGCAACGTGCAAGACCTGGCTGACACGTTCAACGTCGAGCCTGTCTCCCGAGGCGAAGGGGGTGGGACGGAGCAGCGCCACGTGAGCGCGGTACAGAAATTGTTAGATCGATATAACTCCCTAGGTGTGCCGCTGGCTGAGGTGTCACTCGACTCGATTGGGAGATTGCGAAGCGTAGGGCTGATGGCGCGCGCGTGTGTTGGTCCCGGCGCACCTTCTTCCCCGACCAACCGCCACAGGCTGCCTCGGAAACGCTGCGCTCCATCGTCGTTGCGTAAGGCCGAAAGTCGCTCTTGCAAGCATGTCGCGCGTCACCCAGTCGCGCGCCCAGACCGAGGCCAACGCCAAGATCCTGCGTGCGCTCGTCAAGCAGCCCGACAACAAGGTCTGCGTCGACTGCAAGAAGAACGACCCACGATGGGCGTCGTGGAACCTGGGCTGCTTCCTCTGCATCCGATGCTCCGGTATCCACCGTTCCATGGGCACACACATCTCCAAAGGTACGTTCTTTTCCTGCACGCCATTGCAACAGCCAGCAACTGACGCTTTTTTTTGGCGCGGTGGGCATACAGTCAAGTCGATCGATCTCGACATCTGGACACCCGAGCAGATGGAGTCGGTGCAGAAATGGGGTAACCGCCGCTGCAATCTGTACTGGGAGGCGCATCTCAAGGCGGGCCATGTTCCCGCAGACCACAAGATCGAGAGCTTCATCAGGTCCAAGTACGAGTCGCGTCGATGGGCAAAGGACGGCCCACCACCATCGGATCCTGCCACGCTGGATGGTGGTGCCGCCGCTCCTGCAGCTGCGCCCGCAGCAGCCGCTGCTCCAGCTGCCTCCAACAGTGCCGCTCCACCTGCGGCGCGCGCACCTGCCATTGATCTGCTCGACGACCCTGCGCCCGCACCGGCGCCTGCTGCTGCCTCGGCTTCCCGCCCCGTTGCAGCTGCACCCGCTGCACCCGCCGCCGCGCCCAAGCCGGCCGGATCCAGCTCGGGGCTGTTTGATCTCGACTGGCACGAGCCCTCGGCGGCTGCGGCTGCCACCTCGCCCACCTCGCCAACCGGCTCGTCGGGCGCCAGGGCCAAGAACGACATCATGAGCCTCTTTTCGGCCCCACCGCCCGCTGCCGCACGCGCGCCCGCTGCCAACACCACCAACGCCTCCGCATTCGACATGGCGCCACCCGCCGCAGCCGCCGCTTCCAACCCGTGGTCAGCCCCATCCGCACCAGCACCCTCCAACAACCCGCTCTTCGACACCTCGGACGTATGGAGCTCCACCCCCGCCCCCACCGCCCCGCAGTCGCAGCCGCCAAAGTCGGATGCATTCGCCGACATCTGGGGCGACTTCAAGTAGACTTTGGTCCCCTCTTTTGTCTCTTCCATGCTCATGTACACTCTTCACGCTCGAATTCTTCCACACACATGCTGAGCTGCGCTGCACCGCTGCACGAATGCATTTGAGATTCCGCCCGTTCAATGCCGCATGACGGCCGAGTCGGCGGTGATGGCTTGGTCGTCGTCCGAGTTGAACACCGTCGCGTTGTTCTCCAGGCCGTACAGCACGTCGTCGCGGCGGCGCGAGAGCAGCGTGGCCTCCTCGACGAGCATGGCGCGGTATTTCTGGTCAATGTGCGATGTGCCGCCCGTCTTGGAGCTTCGACGTACGCCTGGCACACCCGAACGCACCGTGGCATCCGCTGCCAGATTCGTCTCGCTCTCCGCCCGACCCGGTGCAGCGGTGGCGGCGGCGGTGGGCGCACTCGCCTCGCTGTCGCTGTGAGAGCGCGCAGCTGCACCAGCCTCGCGCGCCACCGCCTCGAGCCGCGCTGGCCGCGCCGAATCTCGCTCATCCACGCGCCCCGAAGTGACTCGCGCACTCGCGAGCCGGTTCGAAGCAGCGCGATGCTTGTTGGGGATCACCATGATCGGTCCGTCGTCGTCGTCGTCGTCGT